TTTTCCTTCCTTATCTCCAGATTTTTGCGAGAAGTAACAATCCATAGGACCTTTGGTCTTGCCAGTAGATCCACAACTAGAAGACATTGGTTGCATCCTTCCCCGCTTTTGTGATTTTGGTGGAAGCGACGAAGCATCGTCACCTTCTTCTGTTTCATCATCGTCATCAAGATTATACAGTTCTTGTTCATGAATCAGTTGAGTCTTTAACTCTCTCTTTTTATGAAGGAATGCTTTCAAATCTTCCTTCACATGCGACGGAACTTTAGGACAAGATGCGACATTTGGATCACCGCCGATTAGATGCGCTTTTTGACGATAGATTCCTCCATTTGAAATCTTGTCACAAAAAAGACATCTAATTGCCATCTTGTTGGTCTCGCAAACTCTTTCAGAGTAAGCCCAAGCCGGATCTTTCCTATCTTCTTTTGGCGCCATTAAAAGAACAACTACATAACACATAAGAAAGGCAATAAGAACTAAGAATAAACTATAAAGGATATAAAAAATCATAGGAATTCTCTGATAATAACTGGAAAAATTGGGCAGTAAAATTCTGGAAAAAATTCGCCAGCATTTCGCTGCTTTTTGGACGTTTAGAAGAAGAAGAAGAAGAATATAGTGTATAAATAGGCATTTCTTTATCAAATCATCAATACATCTCTCTCATATTTTCCAGTGTCGGATATCAGCTATAAGATGAATATCTTATTCTCCCATAGTTCAATAACGAATATGAACTCAACCTTAAGATCAAGAGTAAGGTTGTGTCCTTAGCTCATTGGCAATTTTGAACAAAGTATTGTGATACTGTTGTATGCCAAGAGCTTGTGAACGCAACTATTTAAACAGTCGCTTTTAATGAGACAGGAAGCCTACCTCCTTATCCTTGCTTGGCTATGTACACTCATACTCTCTTTTGCAGCAATGCACATGCTTTTTTGCCGTTGTATTATACTGTTATTCATATATGTTTCCTGTCACTAAATTCTCATGTTTATTTTCATCTAAATTGAATTAAAACAGCTTTAATTCCATCAGATATTTGCAGGACTGTTAATGGTCTTCTTAAAACTGCTCTTGGTCCACCTCCTGGTTCCACTACTACATTGTCTCCAGTCCAAGATATTACATTTCGTTCTGAATCGGTGAAATGCTTAGTTACAATTATAAAGTCAATGGGGACGTGGATGGACCAACAACTGAAGGTAGGGGACCCCAATCTAGATAAGGTGTCTGATCATGAAGTGCCAGAAGCCGCTACCAGTGTTAGTGAAGAGGGAAATATTATTGACTACGAGCTGCATCCGGAAGCAAATTCTGAATTTTCTGGTGCTGCTGCCTTGGAGCAGCGCCGTGCTTATAAATTAGAAATACAGGTTTATCATCTTTGTTAGCACATTCCACTATCTTCATTCTCTGCTTTCATTCACTTCATGGTACTTGAGGTATGGTTAAGTACTGACAACTCTAATGGATCAAATGCAGAAAGGTGTTTCCCTGTTCAACAGAAAGCCTTCAAAGGGGATTGATTTTTTAATGAGCACCAAAAAGCTTGGCAATTCCGCAGAAGATGTAGCCTCTTTTCTGAAGAACACGACCGGATTAAATCCATCCATTATTGGTGATTATTTGGGTGAAAGAGAGGAGTTTCCTCTGAAAGTTATGCATGCATATGTCGATTCTTTTAATTTTGAAGGTATGGACTTTGGTGAATCAATCAGATATTTCCTTAGAGGGTTCAGATTACCTGGTGAAGCTCAGAAGATTGACCGTATAATGGAGAAGTTTGCGGAGCGCTATTGTAAATGCAACCCAAACTCTTTTACCAGTGCAGAAACAGCTTATGTGCTTGCTTACTCTGTGATAATGCTCAATACAGATGCACATAATAGCATGGTGAAAGATAAGGTACCCTGGGAATCTCTCTGAAGTGTTTTTCTCCTAGGTGTATGATCCAGTGCATGTTTTCTTAAATTCTCCCATTATTGTCTGCTACTTTCATTCATTTCTACCCTTAGGGGCGGTTTGGTTTGAAACAAGTTACATGAATTAATAATGCATGGATCGAAAATTTGGGAAAATTTAATTACCAAAAAAAGTTAAAATAATACAGGGATTGTAATATGGGGTTTATTCTTGGTTAGATGTTTACAAATTCCTGGTTAGTTTGTTATATTACAAATTAGTACACAATCTATAATTTAAAATATGAGTTTTACTTTTTCAACAAAATAAAAGTTTTCTATTATTATGAGGGTTAGTTTTGTAATTTAGTGCTTATATTCATGTATTACCGATGGCCACATTCTTACTTCACACTCTTTTCCACGTGAAATAATAATAGCTTTCCAGCACAACTTATGCAAGTATTATTTATGGAAATAAAAAGTAGCAACCAAATATTGTATCAGTTAATGTGGAATTGTGTGCAGAGTTTAAGGACCTGTTTGTCCATACAGAATTTTTCCTTTTTCGATTCTTTTTTTTTTTTCCAAAACTTGTTTGGTTATACATTGGATTGAATTTTGAAAAAAAATTTGAAGATGGGTTTCCAAATTTGAAAAAGAGGGTTTTACCACTTTTTCATGTAAAATTTCATTTTTCCTCACAAAACTACAATATTTTCATGTCCAAACACAATTTCAAGTTCCAAATCTTTTTTCAACTCCAAAAATTACTTTTTTCATAAATCACAATTTTTATGTCGAAATGCCTACTAAATCTCCTCACTACCCAACCAAATGACTAGCTTACTGGCTTGTTGAACCTGTGTCACCCGATCACATAGATTAGTTCATAAAATACAACTTATTAAACTTTAGTTCTTTTGCAATGGGCCAAAGCTCAAAGTTAGTACTGTAGTCATTGCAAAATATTGTCCTTGAACAAATATATTCTTATTCGAGAGGTTGGTATTGAATTTGTCTATGTTTTCTTGAGGATGACAATAAGAAAGAAAAATATGTCCAGTATATAAGTTTCCAATAATATTATTAGTGGCCATATTGGACAAGGATTAGAGTATAAGAGTTGTGACTTATGACTATGAGAAGAGCACAAAACCAATATTGAATAAAAGACATAATGTGCTTGAGAGTTGGCTATATATACACCTTGAACTTTTTTGAGCTTATCACATTCATTATTGTTTTTAGGAGAATTGTGTAATGGTTGATTGAAGGTGCCACATGCACATCTCAATAGCTTTCAATCTGGGGTGTCTGTCATTCATTCATTCAGTCACTCATTCCATTCTTTGGTATTAACAACTTAGCCAATTTTGGAGGCAAAATCACTAGGCGATTTCTTCCCATTTGTCCAAGCCTTCGTGGACAGAGTTATCCGTTACTTGTACTGGTTGGAGGTAGCAGGTGCTCCATAGAGGCGCACGCAAGCTGGCCCAGACACCACGATTATAAAGAAAACAAAAACAACTTAACCAATTTACCGTGCTGTCAGCTTAATGTAGTGAAAGATCAATAGACTATGCAAATTTGACATTCTAGGAATAGGTTAAATAGTACATAACATGCAACACACTAATGGCGAACCCCAATAGATAAAAGGGCTTTTCAAGCCTCTTGTCCTTCCTTATGAGTTTTTACTCGGCATTAAAGTATATAATAAGAATTCTAGTGAATGAAAAATAATGGAGTAATATAAAATAAAACCCCTGAAATAAGATGGTTAGTGATTTTGTGCATATAAATTCATAGCTATATTGACAGATGAGAATTTGAGTAAAAGAGGATAAAATATGCCAACGGGTGCTTCAAGTGCAAATGTCTAGGTGAAGATGTGGACCACCTCCTCCTACATCATTGGGTGACAACTTGCTTGTGTTTTGAGATGGTTTGGGATGCAGTAGGCAATGTCGGGCACAATGGAGGAGGCACTGGCCAGTGGGAAATTCAGAAGGAGAAACAGAACTTGAAGAGTCGGGAATGTTGCCCCACTAACACTTATGTGTTGGACCGATGGAAGGAAAGAAATAAGAGAGCTTTTGATAGGACAGAAAACAACTATGTGCATTTGAGGAATGGCCTCTCCTTCCTAGTTTCTTTTAAATGCACCAATAGAAGATTGAGTGTCATTCTTAGAGAATCATATTATGTTGTAGATTCTCTACTTTTTAGTATGCTGCTAGTATACGGTAGATTTTCCCATTAGTATTAAAATTATTTACTTATGAAAAAGATCCATAGTATAAGGAAGATGGCGTAGAACGTTCAAGGATAGTGATGCTTAGCTAAAATAAGCTTAAAAGGTCAAATTGTGTCAATATGTATGGACTATAAGAATTTAAAACCTTGTAAAGCTATATTTGGATGAATTTGCTACTACCTTAATTAACAATATTTTTAGTTGAACCTTTACTACAAAACTAAAGTTATTTCTTTACAACGTATAAAAGTTGGAATTCTACATGTAATAGATTCTGTTTGTGAATATGAATTTAGAAATGAAGACTTCTAAAAAGTTTTCCGTATTTGTGATTTTTATATAATATTAACAAGAATGATGTCCCTTATCAAAGGGAATATTAAGAAAAGTTATGTCAAACTAGATAGAGCTTCCCAGTGAATGTTAAATGTCATTCTGTTAGCTTATAATTAATTATCTTGTATTAGGAAATTCAACGGCGATCTTGAGTTTTGCATGAAAGGATAGTGTACAAGTCACGGATAGTGTACAAGTAACGGATATGAGTTACCAATTGTTTTTGATATTGACTGATATGGGTTACCAATAGTGCTGCAACCAATTATGGGGGAGGCAACATCTTCATTTTCCAGTATTTGAGACTTTGAAAGCACATAGTTACTGGGTTGGAGAGTATCTTTTTTGTCTGTTTTAGTCTTTTACATTTAGTCTATGCACTTGGTCATCTTAACTTAGTTACACATGTAGATGTTACTTGTAAAATAATGTGATTGGTTTTCTTCGGAATTAACTGTTGTATTTCTCCATTTAGATGACAAAAGCTGATTTCATCCGGAACAATCGAGGGATTGACGATGGGAAGGACTTACCTGAAGATTATTTGGGTGCTCTCTATGACCAAATAGTGAAAAATGAGATAAAGATGAATGCAGATTCTTCTGTACCGCAAAACAAGCAGGGTAACAGTCTTAATAAGCTTTTGGGTTTGGATGGTATACTGAATCTAGTATGGAAACAGAGAGAAGAAAAACCACTGGGTGCCAATGGGGTTCTTGTGAGGCATATTCAAGAGCAGTTTAAAGCAAAATCTGGAAAATCGGAGTAAGATTTAATTCCACATGTTGACTTTTGAATCTATTTTCTGGCTGCATATGTACCAATTGTCAGACGATAGGAATCTGACTCTTTCTTTATCATCTGCGTACGGGTTGATATTTTCTTTCGATGAGTCGCTGCAGTCTGTAGAATTGCGAAACTATCACATATACGGACTATTGAAAGGATTGTGTGCCTTATAGTCCCCATACATATGATTTAGTTTTCTCAAGCTGGCCTCATATGTCTTCTTATCATGGATTTTCTTGTTCAGATGGAAAAGAATGCATAAAATTATATTATGTCCTGTTGCAGGTCTATCTATTATGTCATTGCAGATCCAGCTATATTGAGATTTATGGTAGAAGTCTGCTGGGGTCCCATGCTTGCTGCTTTCAGCGTCACCCTAGACCAGAGTGATGATAAGAATGCCACTTCTCAATGTTTGCTGGGGTTCAGGCATGCTGTGCACATTACAGCTGTGATGGGTATGCAGACGCAGAGAGATGCTTTTGTCACATCTATGGCAAAGTTCACTTATCTTCATTGTGCTGCAGATATGAAACAAAAAAATGTTGATGCAATGAAAGTAATTTCCATCTCCCTCAATTTCTGTCATGTCAGTTTACCATCTTATGCTCAGACGGTAGCAAACTTGCAACAAATGAAGAGTAACCCTACATAATAATACACGCACGCCACATATCTTCTTTTTCTATGAAGTAAAATAATTATATTAATATGGGAAAAAATTCTGTATACAACAAGTGCACCAAAAGGTTGAGAGTAAGCTCTACAAACTACACATCATTTTCGATACAAACAAGAACCTTGTCTATGCACTATAAAAGACCAAAAGCACGAAACTATTCCTCAATTGTACAAGTCACTTTCAATTCCATCAAAAGTTCTACTAATTTTGGAGGACAATTCCTTTATGCATCTTTTGGACTTTATGGCTGGAAAGATACAAGAGATGCTTTGAAGGGCAAAGAAGACATATCTCTAGAATTAAGAATAAATGTCTACATAATTTCTATTTCTGGTGTAAGACTAGTATTTTGGAGATGTAGATCAATTTTGGACTTTATTGAGATGCTTGGGAAGTTATTGTAACTGGCTATGTTGGAGCCTTCTTTCATGTAATTTTGTGTACCATCTTGGTACTTTATTTAATGAAACCTTTACCTTATCCAAAAAAAATAATAATTCCATCAACAGTTCTACTAATTTGAAACTCATGCAGAATAACATCCTTCTAATTGCATGCAGACAATAATGTCGATTGCCATTGAAGATGGGAATCATCTTCATGAAGCTTGGGAGCATTTTTTGACGTGTCTGTCTCGATTTGAGCATCTGCAGCTGCTGGGGGAGGGTGCACCATCTGATTCCTCTTTTTTTACTACCTCGAACTCTGAATCTGAGGAAAAGACATTGAAGTCAGCTGGATTTCCATCACTGAAGAAAAAAGGGACACTCCAAAATCCAACTGTTGCTGCTGTTGTTCGAGGGGGTTCATATGACAGCGCAACTGTTGGAGCTAACTCTCCAGTATTGGTGACTCCAGAACAGATAAATAACTTCATTTCAAACTTAAACTTACTTGATCAGATCGGCAACTTTGAACTAAATCACATATTTGCTCATAGCCAAAGGCTGAACAGTGAAGCAATAGTTGCTTTTGTCAAGGCCCTTTGCAAAGTTTCGATGTCAGAACTACAGTCTCCAACAGATCCCCGTGTATTTAGCCTTACAAAAATTGTTGAAGTTGCGTAAGATTCTGTCCTTGAACTCATCAATTTTTACCTCACAAAGAAACTTTTATAAAGTGAATATGATGAAAGTATGATCTTGATTATGCAGGCACTATAACATGAACCGTATCAGATTAGTGTGGTCCCACATATGGAGTGTTCTTTCAGAGTTCTTTGTGGCTGTTGGTTTGTCAGAAAATCTTTCAGTTGCAATTTTTGTCATGGATTCATTGCGACAACTTGCTATGAAATTTTTAGAACGAGAGGAACTGGCGAATTACAACTTTCAGAATGAATTTTTGAGACCATTTGTTATTGTCATGCAGAAAAGCAATTCTGCTGAAATCAGGGAATTGATAGTTCGTTGTATTTCCCAAATGGTTCTGAGTCGTGTCAATAATGTAAAATCCGGGTGGAAGAGTGTTTTTATGGTAATTATCACATCTTTAGTTCAACTTTTTATAGAGTTTTGCTTTATCCTTATCAGGTATCATCTAGTACATAAATGATTGTTAGCGTCTTTCAGTATCTATTTCTATTGCTCTCTTGCTTATTAGCATTCTATTCCCTCTGTCCCTTTTATGGTGTGAGCTTTCTTTTCCAGGAATCTACTTGTACTTCCTAACTGAGTTTCATGTGAGATATATCCTCTTTGATGCGCTTAGTTATTTATGTGATTTAGCTACTAATATTTTACTGTATGACAATTTTTGTCTTTTTGTTAAGTCTTTAATATGTGGTATAGAAATGGAACCTGGGATATGATAGGTCTTTATATGCACCTTTGCAGGTTTTTACAGCTGCTGCTGCAGATGAAAGGAAGAATATTGTGTTGCTGGCCTTTGAAACCATGGAAAAGATTGTACGGGAATATTTTCGTTATATTACTGAGACTGAAACATTGACTTTTACTGATTGTGTTAGATGCCTCATCACCTTCACAAACAGCAGATTCAACAGTGATGTTAGCCTCAATGCTATTGCTTTTCTCCGTTTCTGTGCTGTCAAACTTGCAGAAGGGGGCCTTGTTAGCAACGAGAAAAACAACAATAATGATTCATCTATTCCAGTGGTCGAAGATGAGGCTTCAGATGGGATGTTCTTCACAGATAAAGATGATTATATGTCTTTCTGGGAGCCTCTGCTCACAGGTGTCTTGTTGCTTTTCTTTTTCCCTATTTCTGCCTTGCTGGAACATTAAACAATTCTTATTGGTGAACCTGCCTAGTTGTATCATGCAGTGACAAGTGGCTAATGCAACGGGGGGTTTCTTACACGTGTGGAATGACCAATTTTTTTTAGTCAAATTAGTTCACCATCCTTTCTGCATAATCCTCACACCTTTAAAAATGGGGAGGACCAGAGGAAATTTGATTATGAGTGAACTGGAAATGAATTTCAGAATCTGAATTGTGGAGTGCACATGTAATTTTAAATTATATGAACTTCTGGAGGAATTTCAAAAGTTGCATTTTTCTATTGTAGCAATTATCCCCGTGTATAATTACTGGAGGGTTCCAGGTTAAACTTTTTGAGTCATTGTTGATCCTGTTTCAGGGTTATCAAGATTGACTTCAGATCCCCGATCAGCCATCAGAAAGAGTGCATTGGAAGTTCTTTTCAATATCTTGAAGGACCATGGCCATCTCTTTCCACGCCTATTCTGGATTAATGTCTTCAAGTCTGTAATCTACCCAATGTTCAGTCCAGTAAACGATAGCGCAGAAGCTCAAGTGAAGTACGACCAGTCTTCATTTAAATCCAGATATATACCACTGGATGGATGCTTATGGGACTCTGAAACTTCTGTGGTGGCAGCTCAATGTTTGGTGGATCTATTTGTTAATTTCTTTGGTATGGTGAGGTCTGAATTGCCAAGTGTTGTGTCTATAATGGTTGGATTTATAAAAGGTTCTGGCAAAGATCCTGCAACCACTGGGGTAGCTTCTTTAATGCGTTTGGCAGGTGATTTGGGAGGCAAATTTCGTGAAGAGGACTGGAAGGTTATCTTTCTAGCTCTGAAAGAAGCTTCAAATTCCACTCTACCCAATTTTTCTAAGCTTTTGAGAACAATGGACGGCATTGAGATACCCATTAGTCAGTCTGATAATGATAGGGAGTTTTCTACTGGGGCTGGATTAATAAATGACGAATCAGAGGATGACAACCTGCATACTGCACGATATGTTGTTTCAAGAATGAAGGATCATATAGCGGCTCAGTTGCGCATCATACAGGTCCGTCTTCCGCCCTTCCCTGCCATTCTCTGAGTATACTTGTTTGTTGTCCTATTTGGTGTTGTTTCACTGGTCAATTGTTCCGCATAGAATATTTTTCTATTAATTTGTATATGGCCCCTGGTTTATTAATTTGTATTCGAACCTAGTAGGGGGCAGTTCATCTGTCTTGGTTAATTGTTGCTCACCTGAATTCAAATTAAATTTCTCACCCATGTGGCCCCTGACTGAAGCGACAACGGGACCCTTTGTTTGGCTCGATGAAACCCTAGCAGAGGTCTTCTCTCTTTCCCTTTTCAGGGAACAACGGTTCCTATTCCAGCAGATATGGTGACTAGGGCATCTTCTAAAATTGAGATTTCAAATTTTTGATCTCCAAGCGGCAATTCAATTTTGTTGGGGATAATTTCTTTTATGCGTGCAACGCAACTTCGAGCCCAGAAAAAATGCATCCTATTCTTTGTATCTTCGTCTATTCCGACAAATCCCCCACAATAATCACCAATCTTGCGTAATCTTGCGGAAGGTATCTGAGGACCAACCATGCAGTGGAATCCTAAAAGCTTTCACCCATTTGTGTTCCGACATCAGTGAGGAAGTCTCCATCTCCGGGACCACCAGTCAAGAGAGAGATGTCTACCGTTCCAAAACCAATCTCCAGCTTTAACTCTTATGGCTTCTTGCATGCAAGGAAACACGAAAAGAATATGGGCAAAAGGTACCTTGAGGCCAGCTGTGGTTTTCCACCTATTGACGAACAATTTCTGTATCACCTCTGAGTTGGGGCTCTGATTAAATGGATGATTGGAAACACCAAGGATCTGAAACAGAGAAGAATGGAGACCTTGTCGTAGTAAGAAGCTGCTACAATTGTCAGTGAGTCCCTTTTGTAATGTCCTTAGTCTTAAACAAAGCACACGGAGCGAGACACTTAACAACGTGCACACAACTTGCAAGGTTAAGTCAGAATGATATTAGTAGCGCTAGATAGCACAAGAGAGATTGCCAAAGGAAGCTTTGTATTAGAGAGAACTTGCCTGATTGCTTGATACAAACGAGCACTCTCTTAGGGGTAGTGTGCAAATAAAGTAGGGCCTATACAGTTTATAATTGTATACAAATAAGGACCGACTCCCGTCTTCCAAAGGGAACCTCTCCATCCTTACGGAATACCTATACAACTCTCCTCGGGGTAGTGTCGAATAAAGTAGGGCTTATAAATTTATAATTGTGTATAAGGACCTCCATATCTACAAATAAGGACCTACTCTTGTCTTCCAAATGGAACCTCCATCCTTCCGGAATAGACCACCAAGATAGCTAAAATGCTGCAAGCTTCTTGCGTAGAACTGTTGTATGCCGAATCGCGCCTATGCGGCGTGATTATGTGGCAGGTTATCATACTCTCTCCCCTCTAATTTCGTGACGATCGCGGCGCAATGCTTGCTCCATGAATGCATTGACCTTATACTTGAATTGCCACAAGCCTTCATATCAATATGGCCCCTTCCGGTGCTCGCCCCTTCTAATGAATAAGGAACATGGTGGTAGGCTTTGTCCCTTTTTCTGTGTGGCCGGGTAGTCAATAATTGGTTCAATGTCCCTATCATGTGGAGGCAGTGATAGTGATGGGCGCACGGCTGGACTGGCCCATGCTAGAATCATCCTTATCTTCATGGTACGGCTTGAGCATGCTGGCTTGAAAGATAGGACAAATCTTAAGCTTGAAAGCCCATCAAAAGCGCATGGCTGATAACTAACTCCTGCCTTCATCGCTTGGCAATCTGGAAGGAATGAAACCTGCGGTGCTTTGACAGAATCTCAACTCAACACACATCGAAAGCTAGACTGGATGTTAAGTTTGTAATGTAAATAGTTCTATTTTCTGGGACTTTGTCAGAGCTAAACCCTATTCTTGTAATTTGAATGCATCTACTGGATGCATGGTTAATAAAATTCACCTTACCTGATTTAAGAAAAATAAAAAGCACTACTTTTTGCTTTTGTTGGATATAGTCCTTAAGGAAAAACAATTTTCTAGAACTATTATGAAGCCAATAATGTTATATAGTAGTAAATGTTGAACTTATACTATCCACATGATCATGTGATAGAAATGGAAATATTTAGATTGGATAAGATCATGAATTATCACATTAAACAGAAACAGCAAGTAACACGCATAGAAGATAGAACGAGAGGAAGTAGACAGATAATTTGGCTATGCCCCGACATAGACCTATACATCACCAGTAGGTCGGACATTATCATGATTGAAAGTTTTAAAAAAGGAATAAACATAGTTCATGCATTAACTTTGGTCTATTTCCCTGCTTCCTTTTCGTTATTTATGAACTGTCTGGAGAGATATTTTCAGAGTTCCCAATGTTACAAAAGAGTTATGTTAAATGCACTGTTATTAGAGAACAGTATGATTCGCTGTGCTTTTCTTATTCATTGTGCTGCTGTTTTTTGATGTGCAGGTGTTGTCTGATCTCTACAAGATGTGTCGGCGATCAGTATCAACTGATACTATCAATATCCTCCTTGGTATTTATTCATCTGTTACTTCTCATGCCCAGCAATTGAAATCCGAGAAAGGTGTACAAGTGAAGCTGCAAAAAGCATGCTCTATCCTTGAGATACCAGAACCTCCGCTGGTGTATTTTGAAAATGAGTCCTACCAGAATTACCTCAACTTCTTGCATGGGCTGCTTGTTAACAATTCATCATTGGTTGAAAAGAGAAATATAGAAACGGAACTTGTGGGTGTATGTGAAGAAATTCTACGCGTATACTTGGACTGTGCTGGATTGAACTCTGTCAAGAGGAAACCAGATGTTAAGGCAACATACCTGTGGAATCTTCCTTTGGGTTCAGCTAAGAAGGAAGAGCTGGTAGCAAGGACTCCCTTGGTTTTGTCAGTATTACGCATTCTCAGCAGTTGGCAAAGCGATTCTTTTAGGAGATACATTTCTCAGTTGTTCCCACTAATGGTAGATCTTGTTCGGAGTGAGCATAGCTCAGGAGAAGTTCAGCGTGAGCTCAGTCATTTTTTTCAATCCTGTATTGGCCCCATTATTATGAATTTGTGATATATATTATATACACCATTTACTGAGCTATGCTAGGCTGCCTTGGCCATTTCTTAGCCATTTAACTGACCATAAATATTGCTACTTCCTGATTTTGTTTATACTTTAGGCAGTCTGAAAATTTTGTTTCTAGGCTCAGGATATGAAATTTTGGAAGCATTAATCTTTCTATCAAGAGGCTCGTTCATATTTAACATTCCTATGAACCTTGTTTATCACCTCAGCAGATACTTTATTTAAATGCCTTCCTGGTGCAGTTTTTGGTACTTTGTCCTATCTCGTCAAAAATAGAAATTCTTAACTAACCATCTGTTATTTTATTATGTTCTAAATCATTCCTAGCTGAGAAAGGATAGTTGGAAGTGTGTTTCACGTAGTTCCTAGATACATGAACTCAAGCGAAGCTCTTTACTTTGAGAAATTCCTATAACTTCCCTGTTAATCTTACTGAGACCACTAAGGTTTGACATACGTAACATGACACAGCTTTTGATTTGATTGTGTCATCTCATTTATTTACCTAGATATTTTATGACGAAGCAAATAGAGAATTCATTTCTACTCTCTACTGAGACTAGTATCAGCTTTATAGTTCTCTTATTTGGGAATTCAACCTTTTTTCTTTTGGTACCGGGTGACATTAGTAGTTAACATGTTTTCATAGTTAAATCAACATAATTGATTGATATGTAAAATAGTTGAGAAAATCAAACTACAAAAATGGATGTAAAGCGGATTAAATTAAGTTTTCTGAAGTAACACAATGTTTAAAATGATTTCTATGCCTGAAGGATTCAAAATCAACTCCGTCTATTTAATCTTAGGTTGGCAGATGCAGCAGTATCTTGTACATAGTGATTTACCAGTTGTACTTCAGCTCAAGTATGTGCTTATTTAGGTTAAGCATGCAGCCCAACGGATGAGGGCAGATGGTTCGAGGTTCAGAAAGATCTCACATACTCATATTACTCGAGCAGCTGATGTGGCAAGAATTTGTACAAAAACTAACAGACTGGGATGAGGTACCATACGAGATGGGATAAGAGGAAATAGCGTGACAGCTGCTTTCTGCTATAATACATACATCACCGTCCAGAGCAAATTATAAAACCTACGAGTTACCCGGCACTAAAAAACATAAATCTATCAAACCAAATTCTGTATCACGGGTGAATTCAACACCTTCATTTCCCAAACAACTCACCCTAGGGTGTCATCTGTTGTTGTATAAGGCCACTCACCTCCGGCTAAATATTTGATTGTTCAAATGGTACACGCACAAAGAGCTGCCCATGCAGAGTAACCACAGCAGAGGTCTGGTGAGGATCAATTCTTGAAGGTAAACTGACTACCTGAAAAAGAAACTAGTTTTCATACGTTAAAATTGCAATTGAAAGAAGATAAAAACCTATAAATGTTAATGACAAACATGATTTCTCCCAGTTTTTTTTCCTTTTCTCCTTTCTCTTGTATTCGAGTGAACAGTTCTAACTAGAAATTCACCAGAAATGTGGATGGATGACTCCCAATTGCCCAAGAAACTAGTCATCAAGTAACAATTTTATTGACATGGCAAGAAAATTCCTAGTGTAGAGGTGGTATAGGAAAGTAAAGAACCAACAAAAAATGTGCACCCAAATACACCATATATGTGTCTAATGGCAATGGAATATTAACCCTCTGGGGATTGAGATTTGACCCCCGCGGCCACTTTCAAGCCAAACTTACTTCAAATTATATTTATGTACATATGTCCACAACATTCTTGCAAAGCCAAAGCAAAATATGTACAGGAATTATGAATATGCATAACAAACAAACCAAACAATAAAAATACTAGAGAATTAATAATGATCGGCAGAGCTGGAAGTATTATAGAAACGAAGTAGGAAAGCAGGACAAATGAAAGCATAGCACTGTCCAGATCATAATAGCCTCCTAAATAAATCAAAAGAAGAATTACTCAAAAAAAAAAGTCTTTTTTTAAAAAACCGTGCCGTCGGGACCAGCTTTTGCACCTCAACTAATCCACGGGTTATCTGCTATCTCCCACCAACATAGGTATCGGCGAATTAATCCATCAAGGCTTGGATTACAAGTTTACAACCCACTTCGTTGACCTTAGAACTTATGATTCTCAACCCATTTCATTGACCGCTATGGGTGCCTAGTAAAAAGGAAATTCTTCATTGCGAAGTAAACGTTGCACATTATCAAAGGGCATTAGGTGTCTCCACTAATGGGGATTAGGAATTGTTGTACAAAAATCTTACACGGTATATTAAGTATAAGAGACATTTCCTCATGAATTTCAAAACTGTTTACTTCTCTAACTTCTCTTCAGAATATCAAGGTGTTAGGGGAAAGAGTTGTAACTTCTTTTAGCAATGGATTTCTTGGTAAGCTGCTGATCTTCCATCCAGTCTACACGTCCTCGCATAATATATTTCGTCTTTCAACTCTCAAAACAATATCCCAAAAATGTTGGCCTATGAAAAACTTCCTGATTCAACAGAAACCACTATTTACCCCTATAGTTCCTAATGACTTCGCTAACCTTACTACTATAACTGAAAGCTACTTAATGAAAGAATTCTGATGCAGTTGAATTATGGTTCATGGGACAAGGAGTTGAATGTCTAATTAAAACTCCTCGCTAGATTTCACAAAAATAATAACTTTATGTGGGTGAACAATGAACATCGGAGCTCAATAGTGGGTCTTACACAAAGTGTGGCTGGTCGCTGCAGAATTACATTTTGTCTTTTTGTTTAGGTTAATATAGTTGTCATCCATGAATTATCACCTATGCAGCTCATGTGTGACAATCAAGCTACCTTGCATATTGCATCTAATCCAGTATTTCATGAGAGAACCAAGCATTATTAAGATGATTGCCCCTTTGTACAGGAAAAGATAGCATATAAAGATACAATTACAATCTTTGCAGACAGAGATGAGTAATTTGAAGACTTTTTCTAGAAATCACTTAAGAGGGCCAGAAATACTCTATGTAGTATCAGGCCTGGAGCATATTATTTGCAAGCTCCGACAAGATATGGAGTCATTGATTTTGGTCATACAATATGGTCTGGAATAGTCAAAAATTAATATATTATAGAATTATGTACTCATTTAAAATATTGTTAGAGGGATTAAAATTATTGTAGATAAGGCTACATTATAAAGTATAAATGCACAAGGGCTGACGCATAGTCCTCATGCATTCTCAAACTTCTCTTTCTCTGGCCTGTTCTCTTCAATTCATTTAATGAGATAAGAATCGGTAAAATTTTCTTGGCATCATAAATAAAGAAAAACATGGTGCCAAACCATGCAAGCAGTTTCTTTTTTCTTTTCGGATAAATAGGTGAGAAGAATGGCATTATAAGCCTGTTTGATAAGTGATATAAAAGGTTCTTTCTTCCACCAACATTAAGGAATATGTTTATTAGATTGCTGAGGGCAGTTAAAGCACACACTTCATTGCCACAAAGCAACACTAAACAGCAGTAGTAAATTTGTTTGGGTAATACACAGATGATAAGCATAGCTGAGGTTATTTCTTATGATTCATCTGACTACATCAACGGCATGAGTACATAACAAACAAATCAAGGCAAATAACAGATGCTGCACTGATGGCAAATGAAGTACTTGATTGGAGGCTAAAATCAGGACAACCTGGTTTGATTTTCAAACTTGACATTGAGAAGGCATTCGATCAGATTAAATGGTCATACCTTATATGCATGCTCAGAAGAATGGGATTTGGGGAAGGCTGGATAAGGTGGATAAGATACTGCATTACCACAGTGAAGTTTTCAATCTTGATCAATGGTGGGGCAGTGGGTTCTTCTCTCCTCAGAAAGGTCTCAGGCAAGGAGACCCTCTGTCCCCATTCCTATTTATTTTAGCAATGGAAGGACTAAGCAAAATGATACACAAAGCTACTCAACCTCAATGGCTGGAGGGGTTTAGAGTTGGAAATGAAGTCGAGACCTCTATAGGTGTCTCTCATCTGTTATATGAGATGATACTCTTATTTTCTATGGAGCTGAAAGATCCCAAGTCATGTATTTGAATCTTACTCTCATGGTTTTTGAAGCAGTGTCAGGACTTCACATGAACATGTTAAAAAGCACCATTTATCCAGTAAATGAAGTCCCTGAATTGGAAGAGTTTGCTAGATTGATGTGTTGCAACGTGGGCTCATTTCCTACTGTCTATCTTGGACTACCACTAGGTGCAAAACACAAGTCTCATGCTATTTGGAATGGAGTAATGAAAATTTTGAAAAGAGACTAGCTTCATGGCAGATGCAATACTTATCTTTAGGTGGGAGAGTAACCCTGATAAACAGTGTATTGGACAGTATCCCAACATACTTCATGTCACTTTTTCCAATTCCAAGTACAGTACAGAAGAAGCTGGACCAGATTAGAAGATCATTTCTTTGGGAGGGAAATAGCCAAGGACATAAATTTCACCTGATTAAGTGGCCTAGAGTCATCTTACCAAAGAAACTTGGGGGCTTGGGAATCAAAGATCTAGCATTGCACAACAAAAGTATGTTCATGAAATGGCACTGGAGATTCAATAGGGAGAATACTGGAATGTGGAAGGAACTGATAATAGCAAAATATGGAGTGCAAAATAATCGGTGTACTAGACTTAGCAACTCACCTCATGGAACAGGACCTTGGAAGCACATCTCAAAACTATGGGGGGAATTTGAGCTCAATACAAAATTCAAGTTGGGAAATGGATCGCAATTATTATTCTGGAAGGACAAGTGGTTGGGACCTATGGCTCTAAGAGATGAGTTTCCCAACCTATATAGAATAGCAAGCAATCAGGGATCCTATGTAGATCGGAACTGGAACAACAATGTGTGGGAACTTCTCTTCAGAAGAAATTTTCAAGACTGGGAGCTGACTGAACTAATGGAGCTATATGCTAAATTAGCAGGGGTCACTATCAATCCACATGCCAGGGATAGTATTCAATGGGGGGCGACTCTATCAAGGGTGATTTTACAGTCAAGAAAGGATATGCTCTCTTGTGCTCCAACAAAGAACTGATTGATAACTGGCCATGGAAGCTAATCTGGAAGACAAAGTTACCTCCCAAAGTGATCTGTTTTTGCTGGCTAGCTTTGTATGAAGCTTGTCTTACCCTAGACAATCTAAGCAAGAGA